CGAATTTTACTTCCATTCGGAACACTCTTTGTTTACGCTTTCAGGTGAATGCCGTAGGTAATACAAAGGTTTCATATTAGAAGCCTAACACTATTAAAAAATAAACATCTAGTTTGTTACTCATAAAATACTATCTCCTTAAAATTAGGGCCCATCAGCGGCCGAGCGGTAAAGTCGCTGAACACTGGTAGTTCGGTCCGAGGTTCGAATCCCGCGAATGGGCTGGCTGCATGGGTGTTTTCGTGGTTTTCCCCATGTGTAACGTGTATACGAGCCAGTTGCCTTAGAAAGTCCTCCACGAAGGCATCCCTCCCCTTAGGAAGATAGCCCTACTGAGCTTTGCCATAATTAAATACACCACACCGCACCTTAAAATTAGAAAGTGCATGATAATAACTCAAAAAGAAGAAGATGAGAAATTAGCCTTGAAAGGAAAAATCTAAAAGGCTTAGTTTATTACACAATGCAACAAGAAGATCATTTTAAACAAGGCTACATCTTAGGTGGAAAATCTTTTCACAGTTTTTTTTGCCTCATAGTTCTACACATTTACATGTAAAATTTAAATAAAAAATAATCCTTTTTCACTGTTTTCACTCTGGCAAATCTTCTGAAGGATTTTCTTCTAGCGTGATAATAAATAAAGAAAAATAAATTTTAAGCTTGTATTATATAAATTGGAATGATTTAAATTATATTCTTCAGCCTAGAAAAATGAAAAATCATTAAATGTCCACTTTCGAACGAAAATCGCAATATTACATTCGAAACACATTTTCGCAAAAAGTTAAAGTTGTTAATAAAAATTATCTTAAATACTCTGTTTTAGCAGTTCTCATGCAACTCTATATTTAAATTTAGAATGCTTCGTAAAAGAAATGAAAACTGAAAACTGATAAAACCAAAATGATACTGCAAAAGTACCGAGGAAATTAGATTTAAATTTAATTTACTTTGGATGCATCTGATGTAGATTTAATAATTACAAAGCATTTTGTTTAAATAAAAAGTATGAAACCGGAATTTAAAATGATAATACTAAATGGGAACAAGGTATGACATGCGATTTTATGAAATGGCAGTAAGGCATAAATATTAGATATATTTTAAGTAGAGTGCTTCAAAAAGCGACTGGAAGTAATCTCTAAGCTTGAATTATTATACCAATTAAAGATTTTGTAGCTGTAGAACACTGGAGGATGCATGATCTAATAATGCGTTATTTTCCTATGGGTATTTAATAGCTGTTGGAACCAAATGGTGTTTAGTAATTGAGCGGGCACTTAAAGAACGCGCTTGTCTATTAAGTGGGTGTGCCACTGCCTGTATCAATTATAACATACATCATTTAGTGACTCTTTCCTTAGTACTGGTCAATTCGTCTGGTGGAAAGAGTTATTTAATGTCTTCTTTCCATCAAAATCTGCCTTTTTAAATGCATATCATGGCAACAGAAACTCGATTTATCTCTCATCATAAGCAAAACCAAATGAAAATGTATTATATCAAAGTAGTTGTGAATAAAGCAGGACATTCCTAAGCCCCTCCCTGAATTTATTTTTAAACGATTACATTGCAATGTACAAATATTACACTGTAATACTTTTATATAGAAACGATAGTTATTGTATCTCAATCCGAGAATTACACGTATCTTGCGAAAGATTCGAGTTTTCAAATCTTCAAACTTCTCGATTTGTCACTCGAATCCTTGTACAGTACTAGAATTTTTTTGGAATGTTTTTGGAAGCAGGAGAGATAAAAAATGAGCAATGCCCTCGCCGGACTCGAACCATTGCTCATGAATACTCGTCGACCGTGCTGACCACTACATCACAAAGGCATGCTAAGAAGGCGAGAGAAATACTTTATATACTCCCCCTTTTAAAGGTCGACTTGGGATTAGGGTATCCAAGCGCTAAATCCTCGTGGTGAAGAATCATCATCACCACCTTTTTTAATTCGAGCGCCACTGTAGAGGGTTTTTTTTTTTTTTTTTTTTTTTTTTTTGGAAGCAGGAGAGATGAAAAATGAGCAAATCCCTCGCCGTTACTCGATTCACGGACCTCTCGAATACGCGTCGAGTGTGCTGACCACTACACCACGAAGGCATGCTAACAAGGTGGGATAAATAGCTTATATCCTAACCTAAAAAATCGCAAAAATATTTTAATTGAAAATATTAGGAAGATTAGCTTTAATGAAATTCAACAAAAACCTGTTATTTTGTAAGTGTTATTTTGAACAAGTTATTTTGAAAAAGACAATTTTGATCTACATAGGCCAAATAGTTTCAATATTTTGGTAGGCCAAATAATTTCAATATTTTAATTTTTAGCCTAACTATTCCTGTTTCTGGAACTACTTTTAGTTTCATTGCATATCATTTAGAAAAAAATTAATACTAATTTTAAAATGTGTCATCTGCTGTGAAATCAAACTGGAAATGCTATTTTGATAGCAGAACTTATCAAGAAATGCAGTATTTCACTTATATCAACTATTGCTCATAGTTCAACATTGAAATAATATTTTCAAAATGTTGCTCAAGTAAAGCCGCATTTTTACTGGCATTTTTAAATTAATTTCTTTGCAGAAAAGTTGAATTATTAGATCGTTTTGTTTAGAATAATTTCCTAATTCTTGGATTGCAGAAAGCCGAAGGGCTTAAATGTTACCAAATTCGACATTTTGGTAATAAAAAGTAAAGTATGTATTTCGATTGCTTTCTTTGGTTGCTTTCTTGTAACCTTATTCTGTCTTTCGTTAAATAACTATAGTATGATAAATTTGTTTTTCAGTTTTTATGAATGTTTACTCAGATCCAAGAAATTTTTATTAAGCACTTATTAAATCATATTTAGACTTCATTTGCTTTATAACGCATTTAGTGGTGGTCTTTAAATATTAGAAAAAAATATATTTCTTAGAGCAAAATTTGTCGTTACATTTAAAGCAGGTAGATTTTTGTATTTGCTGAAATTTAAAGTAAAAGATACTAACTAGAAATTTAATATTTTTATCTGGAGAAATATCAGGGGAAAGCTCAGATTCTTAGACGTATGAAAATTAGGTATTTAATTGCCAGTGCCTGTAAGTTGTACAGTATGATTGGATGACATGGTAATGACTGAAATATGAAAGGACTACATTCTAGTATACGTACATAATTAATGATATATATCTACGAAGATTTACAAACATCTAAATTTGTCATGCATCTTCTGAAAATTATTTGATATGCTTACAAAAAAAAAAAAAAAAAAAAAAAAAAAAAAAAAAAAAAAAAAAAAAAAAAAAACTATTTGTGATTAGTGGGGAGAAAAAAAAAAAAAAAAAAAAAAAAAAAACCAGAGCTAGTTCTCCCGTTCTACTGGGCCGATTGACGACTTAGGATATATATTAGATTTAAATATAGCAATCTTCTAACATAGGTTTTTTGACACAAAACGGGGCTTTTTCTGAAATAACAAACCAACATTTTTCCATATTTCGATTCTACAGCTCAAATTGTGCCTAAATATTAAATTTTGTAGAATTTAGTGCGAGATTTACGGAGAAATTCAAAAATTTATCTTAGCGCTTTTTTTTTTTTCAGTTTGCGCCAAGATTTTTTTTATTAATCTATTTGTATTTTTTATTAATCTATTTGTATATTTTTATTAATCTATTCTTCTTAGTTACATGGCAACCTATTTTCCTTTCCCTTCCATTGTGAATGAGGGGAAAAAGTCACATCGTTCCTACTTTCAAATAGTTTTAGTAAAATGCCTAAACAGCATTTGATGTTATTATTGCTTTCAACAAATATGCCAAATTTCAAAACGCGCCAATATAGAAATTCACGTATATCTTTTGAAATTTTGAATAACAAACTCTAATTTTTTGCAGGTATGCTTAAAAATACATCTACCTTGAGATAGATGATGGTAAAAATTTTACACATTATGATTCAAAATTTTTTCGTAGAAGTTTAAAAAATTATTTAGTTCATGAAATCATAAAATGGCATAAAAATTCATCAAATCATAAATCATAAAAAATGGGCAAATATTATTTGGAATAAACCTAAATTTCCAAATGTGAAAGGAAGAATCAAATAAGTATAATAAAAAAAGATATATTAATAAATATATATAACAAACTCAATTAACACTGAGGAGCTAATTTTTTAAAAACTACTCGTAATTTAAATTGGATAAAATCATATGAGCTAAGCTCCAAGGTTAGGTAAGTTAACACATATTTGTTGGCGCACAGAGCCAAAGAATATGAACTCCCTTGTAAAATGGTTTTTAAATATTGTGAATCTGTGATGATTAGAATTCAGTGCGTAAAAAGGAGAGTAAAAAATTAACCTCAATTTGGGCAAAAAAAAATAGAAAACGCATAAGAGATAACTGCACTGTAGGTATGTGCCCTCCAGCTTGAAGTTACAGAACTTAATAGGTTCTTTGTCTGATGGAAAATTGGCTTTTTATCAAACAACAACAAGGCAGCACTGAGGACTACGGTTATCGTTTCAGAAGTTTTATGATAAGACATCTGAAGAAGATATTCGTGGACGAGCAGTTCAGTGCACGCAGTGTAACAGATACAGTTAATTCAATAGTGATAAATGAGACACTGTGCAAAAGATATTCAGTTACTCAAAGGACACTTTTAATATTCAAGAATCTAAGTGTTACACCTACGAAATGCTAACAAAATTTGTTAAATGCCAAAAAAACTATGTTAATGTTAACACAGTCTGTTAAAATGAAGAAGTTATTCCAGTCCTATCTGGTTAACGCTACTTTTTGACACTTCCTAATATATGAAATCTGATAATCAAGGTAGAATATTAATCATCAGAAGGAATGTCTACTCCTAGAACGTGGCCTATTTTTATATTTTTGGGCTGTTATTTACTGCTAGGGGTATTAATATATCGTGAACAATCATTGTAAAGTAGGTTTCTGTATAGTGAGTTGAGTTAGAAGACAAATAAAGCGAATCAATTAAATAAATAAATGCTTTATTTACAAACATCCATAAAACATTTCAAGTGTTCCCATGCATGAGAAAAGTTCGATAACTGGAAATACTAGAAAAGATTTCATAGATAAACATGTTGATTGGATTTCTCACATTTTAAATTAAGCTATGAAACCCTTTCTGACTAATACTTGCACAGATGAATATTTTGGCATTTAAGTAGACTTCGTGTTTGGTTTATAGTGTTTGGTTTCATATAGCGTTCCGCTCGAGATCACTTAAGCAAATAGTAGTATAAGAAAATTGAATTTTAAATAAAATTATTGTTTTTACATTAAAGCAAAAGGAGGAACAACTAAATAGTCCCACATGAGCTTGAATAAACAAAATTAACTATTTTCCTTTGAAGAAAGACAATAAATATTTTTTAAATTTATAAACATGAAGCTGCGAATCGGTACCATTTTTGCAGTGAAAGACACTTGAGGATGTCTGTTCGTTAAACAGACGTATTTGAATATGCCAACTATGTACACACTCTAAACAAGTAAGAGAGTAGTCCTGCTGCTGTGATACTTTTATGGAAATCCATAATCCTTGGAAATGCATAATCCTTGGAGATCCATAATCCTTGACGGTTAGTGCCATTCATAGATGATATGCAATACCCATGGCAGTTAGTTGCATATTCGAATCAGATAATTATTCGTCTGGTCCTTGAATACCTAAAAAGATAAAAAGTTTTGTTAACAATCTTTTAGCATGTCAGCGTTAAATATTGCTGCTTTGCTTTTCTCTACCAACAATGGAAAGAAGCGACCCATCACAGGTTTTCTAACTGTTCACCACGATCTGAAACGATGTTCTGGATCTATAAGGAATCTGTGAATGTGCTTTGATAATGCGTTAGTTTTATTTGGCTTCGTGTAATATTTATTACGTTGCAATTATAGCAACGTAATAAATATTACACGAAGAAAACTCATCTGAAATCATGTGCTGCTAATTATTGCATTGTTATTTACTATTATTGTAATATATTACCCCAAAAGAGCTATTAGTCTCGAAACACGATTTTGCATCGAATCACTATAAATGTGTGGATTCACTTTTCATTCGAGTCTGTTGCCGTTCGGTAAAGTATAAGATATTTATCATACAAATTGAATCTGTTTGTTGGGAAACAACAAACTAAGCTACTTGAAAACAGTAGATGAAGTTCTTAAGAATAATCATTTCTTACTTTCGAAGAGGATTGATTAAAATGCATATGATTCATGGTTTATCTAATTAAAAATATTTAATATTTTCATAGAATGACGATATAAGTTTTTTATTATTTATTTCCTATTTTGTAAAATTTTAATGTAATTGTGATTAACGAATTCAATGATTTGAAAGCGAACAATGGCAATACTGTAAGGAATAAAATATTTTTATCTCCAGCTCGCGAGTCTGTGTATCAGAAGTTCTAAAGGTACGCTGTCTTTAAATATTTTGCGCTTTTGCTGTTGAATTGAATTTTATGTGGCTTAAGTGCAAAAAACATCATATTTGATGAATAAAATTAATACGCGAAACATTAACGATAAAAAGATAAGAAAAAGTTTTGTAAGCCATATTACTAAGAAAACTGAATATTGATATGATAAACTGAGAAGAGATTGAAAAAAGTTTTAAAAAAAGATGCTAACATTTAATACTGTGTCAGGAATTCTAAACATATTGTGCTATGCTGCATTTAAAATTTTATTATTTTGCTGTTGAATTGCATGTGGTGAAAGTGCAAAGAAAATGATGCTTAACAAGAAAGCTAAAAAGACAAAAAAATGGGTTAGTAGAAGTGAGTGCAAGATCAGACTGGTAAACTGTGAGCTCACCGAGAGCATAAAAAACATTAACAGACCCTTTTGGGTAACCGTTAGAATCTGAAACCTTTCAGATAATTTTTTTATGTATATTATATTCTTTTCTTTGGTTACAAAATAATACATTAATATAGGGCAGTTTAAGATTCACTTTGGTATAAAGACGAATGCATAGGTTGTCGTAAAAGATTTCTGTAACTGTACACAATCAAGAAATTTGGAAACTCCTGGCATATATATAAATTAGAAAATGTAAAAGATAAATGAGAATGATTAATTCTGTTTTTGAAATTAAAAAAATCTTCGAAGATTTTTATGCTGACTATCTGATCACAAGAATTTAATACTGTTTTTGTTGGACATTTTAATAAAGCAAAAGCTATTCGCCCTAGCTACATCAAACATTGCTTTTTAGAATATACATTGAAAAATTATTTTGTTTTCAGTGTTGACATTAAAAATAAGTCTAGGAAACGCAAATCCATTGAATTAAAAATTGTAACAGAAATCTTGTTCTAGGAAGCGCAAATCCATTGAATTAAAAATTTTAACAGAAATCTTGTCCTTGAGCAATCACATCAAAATGAATTATATTATGATTAATCATAGCTGCGCAAATTGTCACGCTGTTGGTTAGTAGTTTTCCAATGTTTCATGTAAAATGTTACAAGAAATATTGGAAAACTACCTTTCAGGTATTTCTTTATTGTAAGTACAGAACAAAATCACGTAATTATAGATAAACCATCATAACTGTTTTAAAATTGGTTATAATTATAGAGAATTAAAGATTAGTCTCAATTTTTCATTGTAAATTAACCATAAGGAAGTCTATTGCGACTAGTGTCTGTTGTGAAGACCTGAAAGGATAACAGGAAACTAATAAAAGTTACCCACGTTTCAGTTGCAGGTATCTTCGGCCGATACATGTGATTCTAAATGGATACATTAAAGTAAAAGGTAATATAAATCAATATAATGACAAAATGTTGGAAGTAAACATTACCAAAGTTGTGAGATAAGCTTTCATATTTATTAATGTGAAAGTTAATTATTATTAATATTTTGATAACTTTTAATCCAAATAATAGCTCACCCGAGAATGTCTATTTCAGTATCATACATGTATAGAAATGAACCTAAACAGTAAATATTTTAATTAATGAAACTGTAGCTATACCATTTTAATATTGATAATTTAATGATTTTTATGGTAATAGTATAGGCAACAAGGAAAAAAATAATTAAATTCCTACTCATCGATTTTAATTTCAGCAATTTTTTCATAGAAAAGGCGTGAAAAAGTAACATGAAACTATGAAACCAGCAAAAATGACATACTTGCGTTTCAATTGTAATTATGTTCTATAGGCCGGTCATTCATCATTTAGCTGAAATATTCTTGATGGTGTGGTTCTGGAACATCTTCGTGAAGATGAAGATATTCATGAGCGTTCGAATGGAATCCAACATTAGCAGGCTGTTGGTTGGCAGTTCCAGGCTCGTTGGTCTTAATTTCAGCACGGAATCCTTTCTCGTCAGCAACGTAATGGACTTCTCGGTGGATTCCTTTCTCATCAACGAAACCGTAACTACCCTTCACGTTACCATGCCCATCACTGGCTTCTTCCCTATGTTGTTCGCCGTGGTGGTCCTTAACATGGTATCCAAAGTGATAAGGTTGGGGCTCATAATGATGCTAAAACAAGAAACAGTACTTTATAGAAACTAGTAGCGGATTTCAGGGAATGATGCTGATAGAAAGAGTATAAGTTAGTTTCCATTCTGATAAATTTCGCTATATAAATTTATGATGCACGAAGCACAGCTTAATATTACTTTTATTTACAAAATAGCAAATTCTTTGCATCTGGAAGCTGAAAATGTTCTGTAAATGCATTTGATTGTGATAAATGTGAAACTTCTTTCACACTAAATGTACTGGAACGAAACTGACAACTTCGTCTTTTATTGTTGCGGACGAAATCATTTATGTGATTACATGGTGAGATAATACGCAGAATCATTTACATGATTATATATTCTATAATGCCCATTCCTATATTAGAGAATATGCACCAAACGTTTCATGAAACACTCGATGAGCGTATAAAAAGAAGGCATTATCTCTTGACCTCTGAAAGGATGAGGTATATCTGCTCAGTGAAGAAGGAATATGATCGCCCGGTGGCGAAGTGGCTAGAGCGTCGCGCAGCTGCATCACATGTCCGGGGCTCGATTCCCGGGCTGGGCAAGGTTAACTCAACTTTTCATCCCTTGAGTGGGTCTATAAAATGAGTACTAACTTCGTTCAGGGGCTAAACATTCCGGGGTCCAAGGACAAGAAAGCAGATTTCGGGGCACTGCAGACTGTGGCCCACTAGGGCTGTTGCGCCACTGAGTTTAGCTTAGTTTAGAAGGGAGACGCCCATGCGTCTATTATTCACAGGAGTTCAGATGCTCAGTTAGAGATAACGAAATAATATGGAGTGAATTGAAAAAAAAATATCAGTGATAATGAATTACATCAATAATGTTAGTGATTATTATTATTAAAGTATGATAATAAAAGATTTATACTTTATTATTATCGTTATGCTTTTCTTTACAGTAGAGATTTTGATGTGTTCTTTACTTAATTTTCACTAGAGAACCTGAATATATCACAATGTTTACTTTTATGCACGTATGTCAAAAAATTTCAAAGTAAAATTTTGCTTCTGAAATTCAACATTTTCCGATTCAGATATGCTGAAGATAAATTGGCAATAAAAATATTTCGAATAAAATACTGAACTAGAGTAATCCAGGATAATGATATGAATATTATCTTTTAATATTCTGACCGGTGACTTTCGAGTAAAACTTGAGGGAAAAATAATGAATTTTGAAATGTAATGATGAAATTCTTTAAAATTTGCTCTATGGTGATGTATTTTCGATTAATACGAAATACAGAACATTGTTGTAGCTGATTTAGTGATTATCACTTTACAACAAAACGTTAGTCGAGATCAGTGAGTGAGATAAAAATTTTCTTTCCTTCTTCTTAATTCATTTATAATTTTAAGCTCGCATTATTGAGGATTGTAAATAGAAATATATTATTCCTGTAAAGTATCCAAATTTCAAAATAAGATAATGCTCTTTTAATATGAATTAAGAGATTTTCCCTCTAACCACTATTTCCTTGTCGCTGTGCTTCACAAATTCAATTAAGCTTCAGTTTTAGCCATTTTAAATCTATGATATACTAAGTGGATTATCACTTTGAATTTATCCTTAATCGCATTAGCAAAGAAAGGAAACATTTCAGAAGAGAGATTAAACTTCTATACTTAGCCTATGATTAAAGCAATAGTTTTCATTTGCAATGAAAACAATTTTTATCTTAAATCTATATGATGTTTCCTCTGATTGACTTAATATTTCGATAGAAACTAATAAAACTCATGAACAAAATATTAGTTGTCAATGAATTATTCACTTACGTCTTCCTCTGCTTCGTAGCCATAATGTTCTCCAGCGAAGGCCAAAGTAAGAAAGGTGGCGAAAACAACAGCCTGCGTAAAAATAAGTAAATATAAGTGCTTATTTAAAAAAAGAGCAAAGCTTAATTATTTGGAACTATATTCAATATCCAGGATTAAATGATTCTAACATAATTTAAGACAACAGAGGAGCTATTTAGTCACAGTAGTGTACTTTCTTTTTGAAAGAAGATCCACCAATGACGAGGCTAAGAAACCGAGGGCACAGTCTTAAGATAGGTTATCTTGAGTAGCTTTAACATAATTACTCAGTAATTTCAATTAATTTCGAATTTCTTCTCCCCCCATATAAAAGAAATGAATGAGTAATTATTGTCTAACTTAATAGCTATCAGTATCTTGATAAAATAAAATTCAAATTTTATTTACAGAACTGCATTTCTGTACATAAATTAGTAGCTCACAGTAGACATAAATTACGTTGAATAGAATTGATCCAGAATTCTAAATATTGGCTTTACATTTATGGTATATACTAATCGACAAATAAAATTCAGAAAAAGGAAATTAATGCTTAGATGATTGAAAACAGTATAAAATTCTTGCATAGTATTCCTTCATCACTAATAATTTAACATCGATTTCTTCACTGAAATTTCGCATTCTGAACTTCACAAGATTTGCTCTGCATACTACAATACTAGAGGTACAAGTCTGAGAAGGGAGTTAAATTATTTTCTATGTTATATTAATGAACTGTGAGAATTCTGCAGTTTTTGGACTGATACGTTGACTGTTAATTTGCCTACAATTGTAACTAGCTTATACCCGAAGTTTGAAATGAGTTAAACTTTCAAATAATATGCAAGATTAAATAACAAATTTAATATTATACAAATAATTTTAATTGAGCATTTATCACAATATAATAAATTGCAAGTTAATTAACATTTTAAAATTGGTAACAAAAAGTAAGTAACGGGTAAAATTAAATATTCACAGCAAATTTTTACTGTATACAGCAATCAAAAGTTCATATTGGGAACAGACATATGATATACTGTTGCACTAATTCAAATAGGAAAATTTTGATAATTGCTCAAATAAAAGGTACTCATAAATGTTTCAAAGTAATAGGTCGTTAGGAGTTCGTACAATTTTTTTCTTTTGCTTCTGATTTTGAAGATTAATAAATTTCGCTTAATGAATTTTATACTAATAATAATTATAGTTGTTTTATTGTTAAAGATCAATTGGAAGCAAATGTTTCGGTTTCAATAAGCTAACATAAGTTCTTGCCAACTGCAGGAAAAAAAAAAAAAAATCTGTAATATCTTTTAAAATTCTTACTTTGAAGGGCAATTTTACTTAATAATAACAAGTATATACCGTCGTTAAATAATAGTAAAAATAAATCTTTATTCTCTGTTGATTCGGTAAAAAAAAATCAAGCATAAATGTAAATATTTTGAAAGGCAATAGCAATACACGAAAACTAATCGATTACTCTTTTGCAGTACTATTTTCAAATAAATATTGGAGATTTTCTTTCATTTGAATAACCATATATAAATATATATATATACAGAGTGTTTTACATACTTTCAGGAGAGCTATAATGCACCTAGATGATGGAAAAACACATAGCAATGCATAGTCAGAAACGCTTTCCTGGAGCGGTAGTGAAGACACACAGCACGAGAAAGGAAGGACACGAACAAAATTAGAATAATGTTTGTAGAGACATTAGGTGTTTTGGAAGCAAGAAAGAGGAAAAATGAGCAACGTCCTCCTCGAGAATCGAACCGTGGACCTCTGGAATGGGCGCCCAGCTTGCAGACCACTACACAACGAAGGCATGCTAAGAAGGCGGGAGAAATACCTTACACGCTCACCCTTTTTAAAGGGCGACTGGGGTTTTTAGGGGACGCAATCGCCAAATCCTGGGTGTGGAGAATCATCATCCACCACCCTTTTATTTCGGGCGCCATTGTAGAGACATTAGGTTTTTTTCGAAGCCGGAGATGGGAAAAAATGAGCAACGCCTTCGCCGTGAATCGAACCATGGACCGCTGGAATACGCGCCCAGCGTGCATACCACTCCACTACGAAGGCATGCTAAGAAGGCGGAAGAGATACCTTATATGTTTATTACGCTAAGAAATAAGAATAAAAACAGACGATCGTCATCAAAGAAGGTGTTCGAAATTACGACCTGGACCATGATGCAGTAACCATGCATCGTGCATCTTCCATGCGATCTTCCATGCATGACGCAGATTTCCATGCGCCGGAGATGTGAGACGTGTATAACGTTTCGGGGGAATAATTTCGAACAGCATCTCATTGATTATCGTTGTCTTTCTCATTTGTTAATTTATGCTGTATATAATAAAACATGTTTTGTCATACTGTTCGCGTCCTTCCTTTCCTGTGTTTTTTGTCGTCATCAGCGCACCAAGAAAGCGTTTCCGACCGTGCATTTACATTTACCATCGTCTAGTGTACTGTCTCTCTCCCGGAAGTTTGTAACTGATTTGCTGAAATACCTTGTATTTAATTGACAGTTTTGTGATTTTTGTGCATTTATAGGAAAAGAAGAAATATTTTATTAGCTTCTAATTTGAAATTTTTTAACGTGTATAAATGGCGAATTTTTTAAATTTTATATCGTTAATCTCAAACGTTTTGTGACTCATCATATCTATATTTCAAGAGGAAACATATTGCTCTATTCTTAACACCTGATGATCGTATGCATCTGAATTATTTTAATATATTGCTTGTAAATAAATTCATTTTGAATGTATTTCATGCCTGAAACAGCAAATCAATATTCTTTCAGAAGCAATGACCTCCACTTCTCGCTTTTTCAATATGAGTTTTCACCTGCATGGATTAGAGTTCTGCATAGATAAAATTGTGGCTGGAAAGCCGATTAGACACTCACTTTAAGTGCTAACTTCAGGAAAACTTTAGCACACGTGATCATAATAGTTGCAATTGCGGGGAAAAAATGAACTTTCCTTTTTTCTTTAGCGAAACGTAACCAAAAGCCTTGTTGTTGAGTAAAGAAAGTATTTGAACTATATTTGGTACACAGGCGTTGAAAGAAAACTGTTAGTGCAAGTGGCAGTCTCTCTGTTTAAGTACTTATTTATTAATTTTTTGAAAGAGATGGTGGAAGAAAATAAAAATATTTCAATTATTAGAGGTTTCAAGATTTAAAACTGAACTTCTGTTTTCCAATTTAAAAACATTTTAGCTTAAAGGAGCGTTAGACCAGAAGGGTTATTAGTCACGAAACGGCATCTTGCATTGAAAAGATTTGTATATATTTACAAACTGTTGCCACAAAATATTATCACCCTGTATTATATTTAAAGAAATTAAATAATGAAGAATCTGCATGAATGTATGTGTATTTTTCGTATTGTGAAAAAAACAATGGCACCTAGAGATATAAAAGTTTGAATAAAGTTGTTCTCCACCCAAATATGAGCAGCTGGAAGGCCGAATTTTGAATTTGCAATGACAGCACTGTACGAAAAGAATATTATTATTTTTAGTCCTAAAAGATATCAGCCGAAATGCGCTCGAAACCTGTATGTGTGTATATGAAAAGAAAAAAACGCCCATTTGGATATAAAATAAAATCTGAAAGCTTTCAAATTTTTATAGTTTTTTTTTCTTTTCTAAAATCTACAACATAATCTAGCATTGGTATAGCTACAAATCTCTCTGGAATCGATTTCTTTCTAGAAAAAATTTTTTCCCTAACTTTAGGCTTCTTTTTTTAGCGATGGAATTAAAATTGAATTGTTTATATGCGTAAGAAAAATTTAATGAATTATAATTGAATGAGATGCTATACATTATTTTTTCGTTTTTTGTAAACAAGTGAAAGAAACTAAATCGAATGCTTTATTATTTTCATATTTACATTGTCATATTTCTCTGGAAATTAAAAAATGTAACATATCGTGGACACCACGACAAAAAAACACAAATTTGCAAATCCATTTTGAAAAAAAAAAGTTAAGGATTTAGTTTTTGTTTTGAAGAAAATAGAATTCTAGATTGTTTTAAGTGTATAGCTGTCTTATAATACAATATGAATAATTGACATACAGCCGAGAAAACGAAGGCAATTAAAAAAGAATCAGATTCGTGGCTTTAGCATGGTGTCTGTAAACATATATTTTTGGCTTAAGAATTTGAACTAAAAACAATTTTTAATATTAGAAATGTTTAAAATTTAGAGTAAAGTAAATAAACTCCTTGGTATTTAAAATCTTAATTTTGTTGTAAAGGAAAGGCGAAGCTTATATTTTGAAGAAAAGAGACTGATGCTGTTTAAAGTTTCATTTTTAATTTTCATGTGCTAATGCTTAGAGGCGAAAAAAAATTGTTTCAATCTAAAAGTACCCCTCTTGCTTCTAAATGCTACTTTCTTGTGTAGAATCTTTTTATTTATTTTGTTGATAATAAGTTATTTGATAATAATTTAAAAGCATATGAATTCTCACAAAATTTATTTCAGAAGAAGCAAGAGAATTACATTAAATATTAAGCAGTATGATTTTCAAAAATCCAGTTCACAAAATTTAAATGGGTTATATTTGCAAACAAGATTATTTCAAAAACACAGAGTTCTGACGTGAAGCATTTAAAAAATACTTCATTCTTAAATATTTGCTTTTTTACCCCATTCATTAATATTCATTTGAAAAATTTAACTATAGAAGATTAAACTATTTTTAAAGGATTGTGAATAAAAGTAATTTTTGTATTTTAGAGCACTATATTAATAGAGATGAAGGTTTGTTAAGTAAAATTTTTATTCTTATGAAAATATTATAATTGATACAAATTGCCACATTATATGATGAACGCACATGAGATAAGGCAAAATAGTTTCTCTTACTGTACTTAATATCACGTTATTAATAGGTCTACGAATTTTCTACGGCTGAGTCCCTGACGTGATATATTTGTAAAGACGTAATTTATTTGTCAAACAGCATATTTGAGCAATATTATTTCCAAAAGAAAAGAAAATTTAATATTGAGAAATATATACTATCAACTAATTAATTTAGTTTGAAGTAATTTACCCAAACTAATTTGAGCTTTTTAAACGTATACATGCAAACATACATATGTACTTATATATTACAATACCGTTGTTTAAAATTTTTGTATTAATTCTTATTATGCTCATTTAAATAATTATTTTTATTACATTGAATAATTGCTAATGCTTAGAGGCGAAAAATTGTTTGAATTTAAAAATACCCCTCTACTCTGAAGCGTTTCTGTTGTTTCCCACTTTTTAGTATGATTATTGAAAATGTTACTTTTATCTTTTCTTTTTTTAGCATGATCATTTATCTTTTTCCTTATCCTTTTCTTTCTTAATGTGTTTATAAAACGTTTTCTAGCTGCTGATTTTCTGCTGTAATTTAAAATGCTTATAATAATAAAACTTTAACAGACAAAAATTTTGCTATGTAAGCTAAGTTGTTTTGTCTACAGAGGTTTATATGGCAGGAAAACGTAATCAAACTATGAGCTGTAACATTTTGTTACATTACCCATAAAAAACTACTAATTCGGTGAAATTCAAAATAACGTTAATGTAAGTAATATGTCCAGATTAATGTAAGTAATATGTCCAGAGTAACGTGTTTTGAATAAACGCAACAGATTACAATAGGTCCTAAATATGTTCACTATAGATTAAAAATTTTGCCCTTAGAGCACTCTCGATTTCAAATATTTGAAAGAATTATTAATTATAGGATTTTAAAAAGTTGCTTTAATTATGTTTGCATTCAATAATTAAAAGAAACAAATTTAAAACAACAGAATAAAGAAACAAAGCAGCAAGATTTGTTTCTGTAAAATGAACGATTATTAAGAAATTCTCATAATTAATTGATGATTAGGATATTCGAAATATAGTTTTTTTGTTTGTTCTTTACATTCTATAATGAAGTACACGAAATTATGGATAATTACTAATACTTACTAATTATAGATAATTACTACGATCTTACTTCAGAGTAGTAATTAGTATAGAAATTATAGATAATTACTAATACTAATTACTACTCTGAAGCACAAGAAATTATAGATATTCCACTAGAAATTATTATTCGTAGTATAGATAATTACTACAAATACTTGATGTAAAGAATTAATTCCAACTGCAACAGAATTCAAACAGAATTAAAGCAAATAGGAAAACTGATTATTATAATGTACTAAACTGCAACCATATTCCGACTGGATACTTAATTCATCACTATTATATTCTTCTCTATTTTCAGAAGAAAATGCAAGTATTACTAATTTTTCTAATACTAGAAGAAATGCAGTTTTACAAAAAATAGCCGCATCGTAAAGTTAAGATACTTGAAACCATGGGAATCCTCCAATTTGAGAGAAAAGATACTTTTATATTTGAGTCATTTATATATTTGTACATACTTATTTGCTCCACATAAAATACAATTTTAATTTTAGGTTTACGGAGTCATCTTTCACTAAGCACTTTCTTTCGAACTTTTTACATACTGGAAAATGTTCTATAGCGCGCAGGTAAAGACATTGATTTTATCTATGATTCCCAATAAGAAATTTCACTTTTCAGCCATTTATAAGAATTACTTAACTCCTGCTATTACATTTTTTTTTCATTTTTCGTGGATAGCTTAATGGATTATTAAGGATCATTAAAGGATTAAGAGTCTGTTATTTAATAAATTATATAAATGATTTCAAAATAAGTTATGATGGATAATTCCTACAGTAAAGCAAAATGTGTGATAATGTTAGACAGAAGAATTTATTTATGTTTTAGAAGTAATTTTACACTAAGATTTCACTCTTAAAACTTAATGCTTCTATAATTGCATATTAAAAATGCATTGTCTGCATCTCGCCAAAAACACGAGTCTGCAAAATTTTGCTTCAGGAGAGGATATGCAAGAGTAGAAAAATTTAGAAATATTAGAAAAAGTAATATTTTTGCACAATAAATGGGACACTTTTATCTCATAAAATATGCATATTTCTATTTCGACTTGCGATAAAACACCAGAAAATATCTTATAAATTTTGTCGAAATGATGTCCTAAACTGTTAACATTAAATGCATATTTTTACTCCAAAGGTAAATTATATTAATAGAATATATTATAATACAGCATTTTTGAGTAATCTGCCAACGTTAGATATTGAAAAAAATAATAGATTCATGGTAGGCAAAAGCTTCTATTCATTTACTGGTTAGATTAGTTCCAAGAGTAATTTTGTTTACACTTAAATTTAACAAATACCCACTTTCTGCAATTTTAAGGATAGGGAGTTTATTTATATATATTTGTTGTTTATAGCGCTCTACACTGTAGCCGAAAATGTAATATATCCATTCAGAGAAAAATCAATATCCAAATGCTGTCTTTGCTGAAAATGAAAGTCAAAATTTTCCCATTACATTACCTTGACGATCATGTTGATGAAATTCCTTCAGCGGAAGAACTGAACTGAAGAAGGAAAAAGAGAGAAAGTGGGTGACTGCTAGCTACTTGGAATGAGCTTTCGGATGGGAACTTTTCGGGGGAGAGTGTTGCAGAGATCTTATATAGGAGCGGTGCTTCGTGGAGTGACATCGACGCAGGAAAAAAAGAAGGTTAATTTTTCTCTTCCTTTTTCAGGTCGACACCGCATCCGCGCTTCAGCGAGCACAGCAAATGGTGCGCGACTCTTTGTGTGCTTGTTTGTTTGTTGATTAGCTTCAGCAATGGATCCCCTACTTCGAGTGGTTATGAGTAGGGGGAAGGAGCAAAAAGGAGGAAACCCTCGTCACTTTGTAACCTCCGTTATTTTCGCCTCGATGATTGCTGAGTAACCTATTCACTTTCACTACTCGATCGCATGTGACAGGACTGCACACAGGCTTTGTAGCGGATGACTGGTCATCTTGAAGCTAGTTTGGATTTTTTAGTTGAGAAAACAGAGGATCTGAAAATTCACACGAGTTTTAAGTTAAGCTAATTCTTTGGCTTAAGGGAGAGAAATATCGTTTTAATGATTATTGGTAAATTGGTTTGGTAGATTGGTTTTAATGATTATTGGTAAGGATCGTAAATCGTATCTCATGTGATGGATTAATCACCGAAAGGTAGTTTAATCGTTAATATACCACTTGTTAGAAAATATAAAACCATGCTTTCAGATAATGAAAATTTTATGACAAGTGAAAATTGTATGTAAATTAAAAACTTTTTTCTCACACTTTATAGAAAAGAATTATTAAATATTGTGGTCTGGAATTTGCAAAGATGAGTAGAATATTAATAGTATTCTCTGACATACATGAAACCAAGATTATCTCGACTATATTAATGGATTATTATTTTACATATTTTATAATATCAGATCATTAGTAACATGCATCAATTATCGTGGAAAAATAACCACGAATTTGTAATGCGATTTTAAAAATGGCAACCAGTACATTTGATTAATTATTTACAAGCTTGCTAAAAATCTTCCAGCTAATAAAATTAAGAAATTTTAATGAGCAGATAATACTTGTGAATATGAGTTATATATAAATTTATCAGCAGACGATTCTGATGAATTTTATGCGAAGAAATTTATTAAAAGCATTCAAGAAAATTATGCTTCCTCGACGCTTAAGAAATCCTCAAGTAATTGAAATGTTTGACTGTAAGAAAGACAAACTGAAAGCTCAGCATTAAGTATGCCGTATTCGAGCACACATTTCAGATGGAGCACATCGCTTCCAAAAGGTAATAAAGAGATGATGCAAAGTTTATAAAGCAAGATTCAGTATATAATTGCATTTAACGTGTTAGGTATTTCTCCCGCCTTCTTAACATGCCTTCGTAGTGTAGTGGTCAGCACGCTCGATGCCCATTCTAGAGGTCCGTGGTTCGAGTCCTGCCAAGGGCATTGCTCATTTTTCATTTCTCCTACTTCGAAATAACCTAATGTCTCTACGAACTACATATGTGATGTACAGCGCCAAACACAATCTGTTCAAAGAGATCTTTCTGTCCCTGGTTTTAAATTAACTTCATCCATAAATTCTTCGATAAAAATACTAATTCAGTGAAACTTTCTCAGCTATGATGATAACATCAAGCCTTCTATTATCCTGATAAAAACTCAGGAATATATCCTTTCCTCATCCAACATCCTATATCGCAATAATACTGGAAGTTAATAGCTTTTCCAATTGTTATAATCTTTCTCCTCGTATCACTCTAACTGCGGTTCTGTGAGGTTTTTACTTCTTTTTGTTTCCTCCATTTTCAGACTTTCCCATGGAATTTACTATCACCAAATTTCACTCTCATGCTCATAGAATGTTTGTGCTCAAACATGGTGCCCAAGCATAATATTTTATTGGTTGTGTGAAACAGAAGATATGCATTTAGTTTCATTATGGCATGCTGTGTCACCAAATGGATACAAATGTGTAAACACGAAACATTTTTCGTGTTTTAGTTTCATGATAAAAAATCTGATTATGTTTCCTCAATCTGCATTTATGCCGACTGTAGGTTTCGTATGTTTCATTCGTACAATTCCTTTAACTTGTTGTACTGTAAGTATTTCAGTAAGAATTATCTCTGTTTATTTTTTACATTGTAAACAATTTTGTGAAGATACGTTACATATTTTTTGATTCAGACAATAACTGACCTTTACTGAATGTGTTTTGATTTACTTCCGTATTTATATGTTTGCTCTATGAAAAAAACTTTGATATTATCTACAGCAATTTTCTATAGCAATATATTTAACGAATGAAAAAAAAGGCGATTTTGTTTTTAAACTATTAGCTTATTTTTAACATTTTAGTCCAAAGGAGCTTTGTCCCTGAAGGACAATTGTTTTCGTTTTCGATTTTGCGTCGGAACATTATAAACGGCTTATCACTTTTCAAATCGTTGCCACCAAATAATATCGCCCTGTATTTTATTTGAAGAAATTAAATAATGAAGAATCTGCATAAATGTATGTATGTTTCTCGCATTGTGATAAAACAACGGTACCTTGAACAATCCAGTTTTGAATGACGTAATCCTACTGCGAATATGGGCATCTGAAAGCCCAAATTTGAAATTCGGAATTTTTTTTCTTATCGATTTCCTCTTTTGAGAAGCTTTAACGAATTTTGATTAAAAAACTCAACGATTTAAAAGCGAGCAATGGCAACACTCTACGGGGAAAAATTTTTATCTCCAGCGCGCGGAACTGTGTATCGGAAATTCTAAAGATAGGCTCATTTTAAAATTATTTTGCGACATTGCTGTTGAACTGAATTTTATGGTTTAAGTACAAAGAACGTGATATTTAATAAATAAAGGTAACGCACAAGACGTTAAAAAACTACCCTTTGGAGGTAATTTAAAATCTGAAACCTTTCAGATTTTATTTTTTATTATAGGTTTTTCTATGTAAAATCTTTTTTGATATTATTACTTTCGAGTGTAAATTGTATTACTGATATTTTTGTTAGATTTGAAAGAATAGCATTGATTAGACATCCGCTATTAAAAAGATATTGTACTTACGAAACATCACGGATATACTGTGCCTGGGAATTAAGTCATTAAGAAATTTATGTAAATATTAGAAAGAATTTCTTGCTTTAAAACAAAAATAAGTTAATTAAAAATTGTCTAACTGCTGTGTAAGGGAAGGCCTGACTTATTTCTAATACGATTTACAAACAATCGCATTTTTACGCTTCTTTCTGTGAAGATCATTAAGAAAGGATTCAACAAAGATGGTAGCGTTAACCCAAACAGCAAATCAAAAATTTGAGATACGACATTCTATCTCATCCTCAATACGTTTCTGATATTTTATCAACAGATCACCATTTTTAGAGCATTTACGTCGTTTTTTCAACAGACCTAAGCAATTTTAGAGGCACCGTCTCTGGTGAAAAATGTTTACGAACGTCTGGTCGACGAGTTAACCGTAAAAAGGATGAAAACGGAACCGAAGTCGTGTATTTACTTTTCAAGGATCCTACGTGCAGATCGTAACAAGCATTCAAAGCCGCCCGCACACCAGACTAATTAGCATATCAAGAGCATTGAAGCATCAGCTTTCTCCATTAATGATATTAAAAGCCCAAATTAATCTTAACCTGCTTTAAGTTTTTTTATTACCGCTTACTTGCTATAAATAAACTATAATTTAGGAAAAATTAACTTTGTGTGAATTTGGGAAAAAAATAATATTTTTATATTAACATTAAAAGAAACCCAAATCAGAATGAAAATTACAAATAAAAATTCCTTACGAAGTGTCTATGAATAATCCTAGATATTCCTTTGTTAGGAATGAAATTTGATGATCTGTCACATTTTAAAGAAGAAGAAAAACTGCATGTTCTGAATGAAATTTCTACAGTTCTTCTCTATCTTCAGTCAAGCGAGACTAGTCAACATCCATTGCAACTTGTTGAATCAGGTTGAATCAAAGAAAATAAAATCGAGACACGTGAATCTGAATGAGTTTTTATTATATTGTGGGAAGTATTAGCTCTATTACATTATTTCTCTTCCCTTTATGTTTAAAAAAATTATATCTGCGTAATAGATTATAAAACTTATTACATTCTTAATTCAGTCCAAAATAAACAGCAATTGCAAATTTATATGAAACAGCATTTTTTTTTAAAAATGGTTTTTAAAACAAGGTTATCACAAAAAAAAAACTTATATCCCTAGCGGCCTATCTAATTAATTAATCGGAATTAAGTTTCAGATATTATTATTTGAAGGTATGCGCTCCAGATTGTGATGATTTAAAGATAGAGCTCTCACCGTTACGTTTACAGTGAAAAGGTTTTAAGATTTTCGAATTGCAACAGTCACGTTTTCCTCCGCAAATTTATCAGCGCATTGAAAAAGAATAAATGGCAATGAAACGATATACGTGTGACGAAAATTGTCGGTCTAAAATATTCGCTAAGAACAGCATTGTAATTGACCAATGACATAGGAGAAGAAAGAGGGAAAATAAAACGCTATTATTGGAATTAAAAGTTTTCAACGTGCTCACTGACGTAAAGATGATAACGAATTGCATGTGGAAAATTGTTGACAACAATGACGAACGTAACATCACAAGAGGATTCTGTATAACTTCACATTTTATTGCATGTTTTGATTCTGACAAATCTTGTGGATTTGATGTGTACATCTTAGACTTCAGGTAACACCTGAAACAAAAATCCATTACAGTGAGGTCGTAGGGTCGCGTGGCTACGAAATTGCAAAATTACGGGAAGTAATTCTATCTCCAAAGTGATGCTGAAGTGCTTGCTAAACACATGTGGTGACGTATGGATGAGCACCATTTTGCATCTATATTATGTCATTAATGTTATTCCGCTGCTGCAGTTCTAGAATTACGTAATTCTGCAACATTGTTCCATACCAAGCACTTGTGATGGAGCACCTTTTCTTACCTGTGGGAGTGACTTCTTCGCAGAGGTCGTACTACACAGTCACTTTAGCTTCGTGTAAAGGTGCTGGTGCCACATCGAGAGAATTTGCATCAGACCAGTGAACGCTTACGTTCCCAGTTAAAGAGAAATT